AAGTGCTGGGTTGATGAATAGGCTTGGCTGTAAAGCCTTCCTGTGGTCTCAGATTTGAAGAATCAGTGCATCTTAGGAAGATATAATCCTCTCTTTTCCAGGGGCTTTTGTGCTTCCGAGGCCCTTGCCATGAGCCATTTATTCTGTTCCACTTGAGAATGGGAACGTTCATTGAGCTTTTAGAATAATGGTGCTCAAATTGCTGAACTAGTCTGACCTTGGGAATTTATTTGTTGGCATCCTGGGTCCAGTTTCTACAAGGTAGTTCTCAAGCCTCTTCCTGTGTGTTTCTTCCCCCCATCTGCAAATCACCTGTCCATCTGCCCTAGTTTTCCTGTTGAACAAGACTCTCTTTAGTGCTTGTCAGTATTTAAAGGGCATTGCTAATGGGATATAGCAGCATTCCTCCCTTCATTAGCATAGGGGCTCACAATACTTGAATGCTTAAATGGATTTCCATTGCTTCCATGCTAAAGTTGACCTCTTTGTGATAGTAATATATACTGCAGACATTCATGTGTCCATTAATTAGGGTGTTGACTTCCTTGTGAAGTGGATTTAAGTAAGGCAGAGCTGCACAAAGCCATCAGCCTCACTCTGTCTTCCTCAGTCATTGACGTCCAGTGGCAAGACAAAAATCAGAATGACTGACAATGGCCGGGGGTGCAGTGGGTTTCTTTGGTGTTTTTAATGTCTGACTGAGCTCTAAACCCTCCACAGTGCCTGCTTCAGCTGCTTTCATGGCCATTGGAACAAATTGTTCTCATCTACCCATTTTGCCAAGGAAAAGTCTTCACATGCTTGGTGTAGCCACCACCCTAACTCATTGATGGGCTTGAGGCCTCTTGGTTACCCTCAACCTGGTTTAGTCCATCTGCTGAGATGGTTTACTGGGATGTGGCCCCTGGGCATGCTACAGCTTCTTGGAGCCACGGGTGAGAGGTGGGGACCAGTTGGACACCAAAGGTAGATGAGCAGCCCTCATACCAGAGGTGCTAGTTGTCCCTTAACACCCCATACACCGCTTTCTAATTATTAATTTATTAATCAGATACTAATTTGGGTATGCGATCTCATTGATGGCGGGTCTTTCCTCTAGTAATGCAGATCATGGCACATCCACAGTTGTCCTCCTCCCCTGACTCTTATATGACTCCTCTCGTACGTTTACCATGAAGTTGCCACGTACTGTTTTGGGAGTCTTTCTTGACCTATCCGGAGATCACCAGGATAGTCACTGAGCACACCAGTTATTATATTATATCATGTCACATATATATTATATTATAACCAGCTGGTTAATCCTAGTGCAAGATGGCCGACCTCTCTTCTTATTTTGATCGTTATTTCTTTGCTGACATCCTTTACCCATCTTTACTTTCATAAGTCCTTGTTTGTAGTGGGATTCAGTAGAAGAAAGTAAAATGCTGTCTCAGAGAAGCCTAGTCAAGGGGTGCTTGGCAGCAATTTTGTCTCTGTAAGGAAAAATTACATTCTCATTAATGAGTTGGATGGATACCTATCAAATTTGCAGGTGAACCAAAATTGGGAGGGAATAGGATTACAGGATCATAGATTTGGAACTAAAGGGACCTTGGAGATCATCCAGGCCAACTCTCCTATTCTAGAGAGGAGGCCTGGAGAAATTAAGTGACTTGTTCAGGATCACACAAGTAATAAGCAGTTGAGGCAGAGTTTGAACTCAGGTCTTCTTTCTTGCTTTCTTTCTTTTTTTTTAAACATTTTTATTTAAAGTTTTGAGTTCCAAATAATATCCCTCTCTCCCTTCTCCCTGAGACGGTAAACAATCAGATATAGGTTCTATATGTGCAATTATGTATAACATTTCCCTATTAGTCATTTTGTACAAGAAGACTGGAATAAAAGAAAAAAATGAAAGAAAGTAAAAAATAGCTTGCTTCAGGCCATATTTGAACAATATCAGTTCTTTCTCTGGAGGCAGATAGCGTGCTTCATCGTTAGTCCTTTGGGATTGTCTTGGATCATTGCATTGCTAAGAATAGTTAAGTCATTCACAGTTCTTCATTGTACAATATTGCTGTTACTGTGTGTAACATTGTCCTGGTTTTGTTCACTATATATCAGTTTATGTAAGTTTTTCCAGATTTTTCTGAAGTCATCCTGCTTGTCATTTCTTGTAGCACAATAATATTCCATTACAATCATATACCACAGCTTGTTTAGCCATTCCCCAATTGATTGCCATACCTTTGATCGGGTTTTCTTAATGCCAAGTCCAGTGCACTGTCCACTACTCCATACTATCTCAGTATGCTAGTATAAAGTCAGAATGGTACCGTGAAAAGAGGGTTCCTTAGATGGATTTCAAGGAATCTGTGAACTTGGATGGGAAAAAAAAAACACATTGCAACTTTCTTTTCTTTTTTTAAAATTAAATTTATTTTATTAAATTTTTGAGTTGCAAGAGTTGTCTGCCCTTCCAACCCTGCAGTAGAGAAGGCCGATATTTGATATAAATATGTACGGGGTACCATACGATATCCAGTTCTTTCTCTGGAGGTAGATAGCATTTTCCTTCATAAGTCCTTCGTAGTTGATTTGAATGCTTCATATTACTCAGAATAGCTGTGTCATTCACAGTTACTCTTCAAACAACATTGCTGTTACCATATACGATGTTCTCTTGGTTCTGCCTATTTCACTCTGAATTATTTCATGCTAGTCTTTCTGTGTTTTTCTAAAACCAATCTGGTCATCGTTTCTTACAGCACGGTAGTATTTCATCACAGCAACTTTGTTTTCAATAAACTCCAATTGAAATTAAGCATTTCCTTCAATTATTTAGAAACATGATTCTGAGAAGGGGTCTAAAGTCTTTGCCAGACTGTCCAAAGGGAGGCCGTGACAAATACACACACACAAAGGTTAAGAACCCCTAGACGAGATGGACCTGTAAGGCCTCTTCCAACTCAAAATTCATCATCATATGATATCATATGATACTGTAATCCAAAAGGATTTTTGACAGCTTCAAATGATAGACTGAAGCAGAAATTTGGTGGTTCTGGTGATTGTGAGACTGGCCTTTGGGGTTCCCTGATGAGTTGTCTGAGAATCTCTACTAACCTTGTCTGTTCATAGATTGTGAGAATAATTTTACGTGTGTGTGTTTGTGTGTGTGTATGTGTGTATAATGGTAGCTATCTCCAGGGCAGAGGGTGGGGAGGTAAGAAAAAAAGGGGAAAAAAAGAATTTTACACGATAACTTTGTTGTATATTTGGAAGGAATAGCAAGTTGTAGATTTGTTGTTTCATGTGTAATCATCTTTTTTATTGTACTGTGTTATGGAAATGCTTGTTTTGTTCCCTGAATTAAAAATAAAATTGATTTTAAAAATTAAAAAAAGAATGGACTGAACAAAATGCTGAAGTTGGTAACTACTTCTCAGAATCTTCCTGGGGTTGACTTTTATGGTCAACTATGTGCTGCAGGCCTGTGTAGTTTTGACCAAGTGCCCCTTCATAGGAAGTAGTAGTGGAGAGACTTGGTGTCTACCAATGCGTATGGTCTAATCCTCTCTCACTGAACCCCATGGCTTTTTCTGAACTGCCTTGTGTAGCTGGGATGCTTTCCTGCCCACTAAACTTTCCGCTTTCCCTCTAATCCAGAGGTTCTTAACATTTTTTGTGTCATGGACCCCTTTGGTGGTCTGCTGAAGCCTAAGTAAGGAACCTCCCCATCTGAAAAGAATGTTTTTAAATGGATAAAATAAAATCCGTAGGATTACAAAGGAAACCAATTCTGTTGAAATACGGTTATCAAAATTCAAAAACAAGTTCATGACCCCAAGTTAAGAAACCCTGCTCTCAACGTCTTTTCAAAGACGTAGATTTCTGGGGCTTAGTGGGGTCAAACAGGGATCTTCACTTTTTCTACCTTTCGCCAGGAAATGTAAAAACAGACATTAAAACACACCAAGTGTGGGTGTGTGGCCAGCCTGCTCTGGAACAGAAGCTTCCTAAGGGACAGGGACCAGGAGGCATGTGTGGTTTCTGAGAACATTGAGCACATGGTGGAGATTTAGAAATCGGTATGAAATAGTTGAGGGGTTTGGCTAACTTCAGAGTTAGAACAGGCTTCTGGAACAAAATATGTCAGCATCTTGATCTCTTTCCCTCTGGGCTTAGTCAAAGAGTCATTGAATATGAGGAGTCGATGAGACCTTAGGGACCCTGTTCCTTATTTTGTAGCTGGGGAAACTGAGGGAGAGGTGACTAGTTCCAGAACCCAGGTCTCCTGACTTTCAGTTCAATGTATTTTGATCTATACCAGCTGTTTCTAACTGTTTTGTCAATGGGGACCTCTTTTTAACATTAGAATTTCGTGGGTCCTTACCCCCTACCACATAATAGTCTTTGCTATCCTATTTTTTTCTATTGATTGAGATGATAACACTGTGACAAAATGACACATAACTCTTTAGTTCCTGGGGGAGGAGGTAGGGGGGTCTATGTATCTGAGTTGCCTATGTCTCGTATATGCTTCTATATGTGAATGCTGTCTCTCTTATTAGAAAGTAAGGTCCCTGACAGTAGGGATTATTTCACCTTCATTCTTGTACCTTTAACACTTTGGAAAGCTCCTAGAACATAGACACTTAATAAATCCTTGTTGATTGATACATTCTTCAACAAACATCATATTCTACTGCCTGGGTTGGGGATCAAGCATTTGGGGGGATACACAGGTGGCTGTGCATTGAAACTCTCAGGCTAGAAGGGCCAACAGGATGTATATGCTGTTAGTAATAGGTCAGTGAAGAAAAATGTGTTAGAGAAGTGTGAATTATTGGGAGGGGCTGAGTCCTGAAGAAGGAGTAAAATTTGAAGCAGGGATGGACGTTAAAGTTGACAGGATGGACTCAAGTATAAAGGCAAAAATGAGCCAGGTGCTCTGAATAGAGCTTTGGATGGAAGGCCATGGCCATCTGAATGAAATGCTTTTTTTCCCTCCTTAGTTTGTGAGCTATATGTGCATGCCGACTGTGTCCCCTTTGCCTGCAGTGACTGCCGCCAGTGTCATCAGGATGGACACCAGGACCACGTAAGTGCAGGGACCTTCCGGATGCCCTGACAGACCTCAGAGGAATGCTCAAGAGTGTGAGACTGTGCCAGGGAATGTTCTTCCCAAGTGAAAAACAGGGCAGCTTCGTAGAGTTTAGCTGAGGCTTAGATTCTTATAATCTAGCCACTGCTCAGATTCCTAATATCTAGCCACTGCTCAGAGTCCTAAAATCTAGCCACTGCTCAGATTCTTATAATCTAGCCAATAGTTTACTGATGTTCAGACTCCTTAAGAGTCTGCCCAATATGGCGGATGTTCTAATAGACCTTGTCTTTGGCTGAAAAAAGGCTTGGGTTGTAGAGTTTAGCTGGTTTTGGAAAATCTTTCCTTGGCACCTTCTCTGTGCTTGGCTTTGCTGTTGGGGAAGCAGGAGGAAGAAGGGGCTTGGGCCCTGCCCTCAGGGAGCTCCTAGTCATAGGTTTAATTACCATCTCTTTGCAGAAACCTCACAAATTATATCTCCAGCTCTGTTCTCTCTTCTGAGCTTCAGTTCTTCACCACCTGTTGACTATTGGGTGTTTCAAACTGGATGTATTAAGGACTTCTCAAATTCAGCATGTTCAAAACCGAATTCATTATCTTTCCCCCTAAGCTTTCCCCTATTCTTTCTGTCAAAGGCGCATCAGCCTTCTAGTCCTCCCAGGTTCATAACCTTGACATCATCCATTAGATTATAAGCTCCTTGAGGGCAGGGATGCCTCTTTTTTTTTGTATCCCCAGGGCTTAGCACAGTGGCTAGCATGTAGTAGGCACTTCATAAATATTTATTTAGTTGAGTTGAGAATTTACAGCCTCCTATGACTTGGCTTCTTAGTTTTTCTTAATCATTATTCCTTCCTATTGATTAGCACTGTCTCTGATCCTTGTTTTCAGGACACATACCATCATCACTGGAGGGAGGGGAATATCTCATCGAACGCACGCTGCGAAGTGTGTAAGAAGACCTGCGGGTCCTCAGAGGTGCTGTCAGGCATGCGGTGTGAATGGTGTGGCATTCTGGTAGGTTCCTAATAATCCCAATCATAAGAACAATTCTTAGCCGTGGAGCACTTTAAGGTGGACAAAATGCTTTGCTTCAACAAACTTGGCAGGCAGTCAGTAAACACTTATTACGTGCTTACTCTGTTCTAGGCACTGTGCTAAGTGCTGGGCTTACAAAGAAAGGCAAGAGACAGTCCTTGTCCTCAAGGAACTCACAATCTAATGGGTATGGGGGAGACAACAGATAAAGGAAGCATCGTGTTGTGGAAAGGATAATGGAGTCTGAAGACCTGGCTTTGAATCCCAGCTCTGCCGCTTATATCTGAGGGACCCTAGGCAGTTCATTTAAACTCTTTAGGCCCAAGTTTCCTGAATAAAGTAATGGAATTGGACTAGACCAGGGGCTCTTAACCTGGAATATGTGAACTTTTTTTTTTAATATATTGATAGCTGTATTTCAGTGTATTTGGTTTCCTTTGTAATCCTTTTTGTTTTGTTTTATGCATTTAAAAACATGATTTTGAGAAGGAATCCATAAGCTTTACCCTGTTGCTAGAGATCTTTATTGTCTGCCACGGGTGAGGACCCTTTAGGTCCTCAAGTGCAGCCCTTTGATTGAATCTGAACTTCACAGAACAAATTCTCTTATTAAAAGGCCTCAGGTTCCCCATCCCTGACTCTAGTCCAACTCTGAAATCTTATGGCATTTGTGAATTATTACAGTGGAACTTAGGAAGAAACTAGTCAAAACAGAACTCTCTACTTTATATCTTATGTTAGTGAACAACAGAGTTCTTTGTTCCTTATCTCACACAGCTATTAGGTTAAACTTAATTCTAGTGGGTACATCAGGGGTATTGGACCTTGGTTTCTATATCTTTGTAAAATAAAACTTCACCCCTTTGCTTGGCAGTGAAGGCCCTCTCCAGTCTTTCACTGTCTGCCTGTCCAGGTGATTTCACAGGACTCCCCTCCGTTCGTTCTTGGCTCCAGCCGAGCAGGATGACTTTCTGTCCCCTGAACATGCCTGGTGCTGTTATTTCCATGCCTTTGTTCGTCATAGTCCCCATGGCTAGAGTGTCCTCCTTGGCCGTCTGTGGCTATTCTATAAAGCTTCCAGCTCATTAAAGCCTTCCTTGATTTTCCCCCTTACCCCCCAGCCATAACATTATGTTCTCCCTTAAACTTCTCAGAGTACTTGGTTTGCGCCCTCTCTAATGTCCTTATCATGGAATAATATACGTTATAGTGGGCTGCATGCAGTAGGCCTCATTGGCAGACCCTGCTAGTGCAGTTTCTTCCCTTCTCTGAGATCCCGCAAATGCCTAGTGCAGCGATCATGAAAAGTTCATCATGATGACCCCAGGGCCCAACAGATCTCTGCTATGCTTTTTGAGTCATCCAGGAAAGACTGAGTTATCTTCCATTTCATCACAGTGTGGAGTTTATTTGCTCTTATAAGGTATCAGCAAATTTCCCTGTATGTACTTTTTAGCTTTTCAGTTGTTTAGGGTATAGACCTAGGGTTCTGAGACCACTCTCAGATCTAGCAGCTCCAGGGAAAAGAGGGCAATTCTCAGAGGTGGTATTAGAAATATGACCTGTGACATAGTCTTCTGACCTGTGACATAGTCATCTCTGCCCTACCTTAACATCGTTCTCTGCACCAAAAACTTCAGACAGCTGGCAGCTCAAAGCACGTGTTACACTAGTCCAAATACACACACAGGCACTTAGTTATAGACTCAGGAAACAGTGATCTAGGAATTTTGCAATGCCAAGAACCACACTGTACCTCCACAAAAATTCTCATCCAGTTGATTATCTTTTTTTAAATTAAATTTTATTTTTTTCAAATATCAAGAATATTTTTTGCTGCTCACTTCTCCTCTACACTGAAAAAAAGAAGAAGAAAACCAACCCTTTAAGAAAATAGTGAAGTAAAACAAATTCTCACATTGGCTAAAACAAATTCTCACATTGGCCATGTCCAGAATTGTGTGTCTTATTCTGCATATTTGGTTCATCCTGTCTCTGAGTAGTATCCTTTATCATTGGTCCTCTGGAATTATGGTTAATTATTGTATTGATCAGAATTTATGTCTCTAAAATTTTACAAGGTTGATATTTTGATATAAATTGTTCTCCTGATTCTTCTTCCTTCACTCTGCATAAATCTTTCTAGGTTTCTCTGAAACACTCTTTCTCACAGCACAGTAGTACTGCATTACATTCATACACCATAACTAGTTATTCACTTGATGAGTACCCCTATAGTTTCAAATTCTTTGCTACCCTAAAAAGAGCTGCTGTAAATAATTTTGTGCAGATGAGTCTTTTTCTTTTTCCTTTAAGGTATAGATCTAGTGGGGATATTGCTGCATTAAAAAATGTACGTCCAGTTTAATAATTTTGGAGGCATAGCTCCAAATTGCTTTCCAGGATGGCTAGAGTAATTAATTCATAGCCCCAGTAACAGTATATCAAAGTGCCTGTTTTCCCACAGCCCTTCCAGCACTTGTCTTTTTCCTTTTGTTGTCAACTTTGCTGATTTGATGGGTGTGAGATGGAACCTCCTAATTTCTTTAATTTGCATTTCTCTAATTATTAGGGATTTGGAGAATTTTTCGATATGAGAACTGTTTTTATGCTTTAACCATTTATGAATCAGTGAATGACTTTTATTCTTATAAATTTTGTCAGTTCCTTATGTAGCTTGGAAATGGAAACTGTAACTGATTATCCTTTGGCATCTTTCTGGAACAGAAGAGCTGTGAAATAACCGTTAAGGTGACCACACTAACACCAGGTCTGAGAGTTTCAGATTTTCCCAGCTTCTGACTGCTCTCTAACTCTTCTGCCTTAGGGAAGCGAGAGAGCTTGTCATTCACCTTTTCTCCCCATCTGCTTCCCGGGTTGAGCCTTAGCCATCTTGGCTTCCACTGTTAGATAAGGGTTTGTGATATGTCAGTCAGTTTGGCCTGACTGTTCCTTGGAATCACTGATATTCGCTGTTTTCTGTGACTTAAGACTGAGGATCTAGGGGAGATTTTTGAGGCTAAATAGATCTAGTGGAGAAGACTGCTACATGTCTCAGTGGACAGAGCAGCAGGTGGGGAGTCAGGAAGACCTGAGTCTAAATCTGGCATCAGACACTTGCTAGCTCTGAGTCCCTGGGCAAGGCACTTGACCTATGTTTGCCTCAGTTTTTTTAACTGTAAAATGGGAATAAGAAAGGCCCTTACCTCTCAGAAAAATAAGACAATATTTGTGAAGTTCTTAGGACAGTGCCTGGCACACAGTAGGTGCTATGTAAATGCTTATTCCCTTGTCCCATCCCCTATTTGTGACTTTAGCTCTCCTTCCAAAAGGGAATTTCAGGTAGGAAGCATCTGGGATCTGGAATAGCCTTCATTCTTGGAGTAGATGACATTCTTGGAGGAAAGCATAGTAAAAGGGGTTGTTGTTTAATCATCCCGTCATATTTGGCTCTTCATGACCCCATACTTCTCCAATGTGTACCCATTTTATAGATGAGGAACTGGGGCAGATAGGGTTAAGTGACTTGCCAAGGTCACACAGCTAGTAACTGAGGCTGGATTTGAACTCAGAACTCAGATCTTCCTGACTCCAGGACAGTGCTCTATTTACTGCACCACCTGGCTGCAGGGAGATTTAGAGGAGGGCTTAGGAAGCAGGAAAAAGATTGAGTGTTTTGGGGCCTGAGAATGCCTCCAGACACCGGCATCTTCTGTGGAGAGAAGGCAGTTTTGTTCTGCTGAGTGAATTTAGTACTGAACTCTATTGAGCAAACTCAACACGTATTTATTAAGCACCTGCAGTATACAAAGCCCTATGCTTGGTGCTGGGGTAGAGACAATGTTTAAATATGATCTCTCCCTTAATGGAGCTTACAGTTTAATAAAGTGATAAGACAGATTCACACATACCTATAGCAGAGGAGAAGCAGCAAATGCTGCAGTGAAAAGACCTCTCCTGGGAATCAGGAGTCTTGGGTTCGAGTTCCCCTCTGGCCCACTAACCCTTGATCTCAGTACCCTTCTCTGTGATATGGGCATGATAATGCTTGTGTGATGCACAGCACAGGATTGTTGAGAGAATGTGTGTTGTAAGCCACAAGGTGTTACAGAAGTGGAAGCAGAGATTATTTTCTCTTTCTGGGTCTCTTTTTCCTCACCTGTAAAATGAGGAAGTTGGAGTCAAAGTTCATTTAAGTCCTTTCCAACTCTGACCGTCTGATTCTGAGAAACTAAGGCGTAGAAAGATGAAGTAACTTGGTGGCCACATAACTACTGAGTGTAGAGCCCTAACTGAAACCCAGGCCATCTGGCTCAAGCCCAGGGCACGTTCTCTATATCCTGCACCACCTTTTTTTTGAGGGGGGATGGGGAGGCAGTCGAGGTTAAGCGACTTGCCCAAGGTCACACAGCTAGTAAATGTCTGAGGCTGGATTTGAACTCAGGTCTTCCTGACTCCAGGGCTGGTACTGTAACTGCTGCACCATCTATCTGCCCCCTGTACCATCTCTTAAGGGCAAGATAGATAAGAGATTTTAATGTTCATTTGGAGTATTTGTTAATAATAATAACAATGATGGCAATAATAATAATAGATTTCTATATTTCTATAGTCCTTTAAGGCTTGTCAGCCCTATATATAGATCAAGGCTTCTTAAAGTTTTCCCATTCACACCCCTTCAGCACTTCTTAAACTGTGGGGGTCACGCTGAATAGATGATCTCTTGATTCCCACAACAACCATCTGAAGTAGATATAATTATTATCCTCATTTTATATTTTTTCTGGTTAATTTATTTATTTTGTGCTTAATAGTATTTCATTTTTCCCCAATTTTTATTTTTCCATTTTCCAGTGTAAAGATAGTTTTCAACATTCATTTTTGTAAGATTTTGAGTTCCAAATTTTTCTCACTCCTTCCTCCTTCCCCAAGATAGCAAGCAATCTGATGTAGGTTATACATGTACAATCATGTTAAATATATTTCCACATGAGTCATGTTGTGAAAGAAGAATTAGAACAAAAGGGAAAAACCACAAGAAAGAAAAAAACCAAGAAAAGTGAAAATGGTATGCTTCAGTCTGCATTGAGACTTCATAGTTCTTTCTCTGGATGTGGATAGCATTCTCCATCATGAGTCTTTTGGAATTGCCGTGGCTCATTGCATTGCTGAGAAGGGCTAAGTCTATCTAAGTTGATCATCATATGATACCCATTTTAGAGATCACAAAACTGAAAGCTTGGAGAAATTAAATGATTATTTGTCTGAGATCTTGCAGCAAATACGTATCAAGAGGGAGAACTCAAAATTCAGGTTCTTGTTCACTCTGCTATCCTGCCGGAAATGCTATTAGAAATAATCTAGAGGCAGCTAGATGGCACAGTGGATAGAGCTCCAGCCTTGGAGTCAGGAAGACCTGAGTTCATATGCAGCCTCAGATACTTGACATTTACTAGCTGTGTTACCCTGGGCAAGTCACTTAACCCCAGTTGCCTTAGCCAAAAAAAAAAAGAAAAGGAAAGAAAGAATCTAGTCTGAACTGCCCATTTTACAGAGGAGGAAGCTGAGGCCTGGTGGGATTTGAATTCAGGTCCCACACCTACAGATCCTGGAGTCTTTTCACTTACTCTCTGTACCCCTCCATTTCCCAGCTCCTTCACCTTTCCTGTTTCTTCTTGATACAAGATTTTCCCATTCAGTGTTTGTCTTAGTGTTCAGGGTTGAATCTTTGTTGTGACTTTTCTTTGTTGTGGTTTGATTTGGTTCTAGGCACATACGGCCTGCTATGCCGTCGTAACCCCTGAGTGCACATTTGGCCGACTGAAGAACATGATTCTTCCCCCTAACTGTGTGCGTTTGTCCTCTCGAAATTTCAGCAAAATGCACTGCTTCCGGATATCAGAGAGCGTCCATACGGAGCCAGGTATGGGGAAGTACAGTCATTTTTTTTTTTATAAATAGTAACTCATAGAATCATAGAATTGGTGAGTTAGAAGAATCCCCAGAGGACGTCTAGTCTATCCCTGAACCAAACAATGAGTCATAGCTGATTTACCAATCCAGGTGTCCAGAGTCTTTGTTATCTCGTCTGCAAGGGATGGACAGAGGCAAAAACACTATCTCCATCCTCAAGAAGCTCGCACCCCTCGTTGAGGATGCATCTGACAGGCCTCTCTGTTACCCGTCTGTCCAATGAAGAGGTCATACTTGATGATCTTGGAAGCCAAGCCGAATAAGCCCAGCCTCTGGGTGGAGGAGGGGGAGAAGCTTTTTGGATGACTTGACTTGCAAGTGAATTAGATTTAAGCGAGGCAGAGCTGTGTGGAGACACCAGCCTCACTCTGTCCTCCAGAGTCACGGGAGTCTAGTGTCAAGACATAGGTCAGGACGACTGGCGATGGCACCGGGCAGAGAGTTAAAAACAGCGATCATGCCCCTCCTGGCTGGTAGTTGATCCTCTAAGATGGCAGAGCCTCACCAGAACAAGGAAGTAATGTTAAAGAAATTCAATTCCAACAAACTTTTGTTATTCACCTGCTCTGGAGAGACAAAGAAGAAAAAATGACAGTCTCAGTCTTTCAAGGAATTTGGTGTCTACTAAAGTGGAGATGTTACATATACACAAATCAGTATTAAATAAGGTAGAGGGTAATGTGAGTAAAGGAGAGATTGCGAAAAGAAGTGCATTGTAAACTATACAGGACTCCAGAAATGTGAGTAGTAGCAATAGTTGTTGTTGCCTTCCGGACAAAATGCTCTGGGAACATCTGAATGTAGCCAGTGGTATTTTAGGAAGAATGACCTGGCAGCACTATGTTAGGGGGACTGGAAGGGGAAGAGACTGGAGGCAGGGAGACCAGATAGGAGACGATCACCATAGCCCAGACACAAGTGGGGGAAATGAAGCCAGAGTGCTGGCAGTGAGAACAGAAATGAAGGGGTGGCCAGGAGTGACTTGATAAAGAAAGAATGGCCAGGACTTGGTGAATGATCTAGGGGTGAGAGAAGAGAGACAAGAGTGACCCTAAGGCTTTTGGGTTGTGACTCCTCCTTGTAGAATGTAAGCTCCTTCTGGGTAGGGATTCTTGTGTTTCTTTTTTTGTACCTCAAGGGCACATGGTAGGAATTTAGCAAATGCTTCTTATATTGGATTGGATAAAAGGCAAGGATAGTAAGGTTTCAAATCTGAGTGACCCAGAGAACAGAAGTGACATCCATTAGAAGGGAGGTACTTTGTAAAGTCAGAGCCCTGGAGTGTGTCTGAGAAATGGAGCATCATCATGGTTGGGGATACATAGACAGTGGAGAGAACATCAGAATGGCAGTCAGGATACCTGGGCTTTGCTCATGAGTAGTGGCGTGGCACTGTAGAAGGGTACTGAATTTAGAGTTGGGAAACTCGTCGTTCAAAACCTGCCTCTGGCATTACAAACTTTGTGACCCTAGGCATGTTATTTAACCTCTCTGTGCCTCAGTTTTCATATCTGTAAAGTGGGGATTATTATGCCCATAGTACCCACCTCACAATCTTGTGAGGCTCGCATATTTAGAAGTGCTTTGTAAACTTCAGATCTCTTATTGTGATTACTCCGGGTTCTGTCACATAGTATCATAGAATTTAGAACTGGAAGGAACTTCAGAGGTCTCAAATAATTCAACTCCTCATGATATAGATGTGGAAACTAAGGGTACATACCTGCCTAAAGTCACTCAGGTTGTAAATGGCACAATTGGGATTAGAATCCAGCTTCAGAACCTCCAGATAGGAGGCCTTCTTTATTATAGACCATTCTTGCTGATTTGCTAGCCATGTAACTGAATAATTACTTCTTTCTGAACCTTTGTTTATTTATTTGTTAAGTGAGGATGATAATAGTGATCACAGGGCTTATTGAGGATCAAATGGGAGTGTAGACACGTGTTAGTGGTTTGGAAAGGAGACCTTCCCCCCCCCCCCCAAGTCCACTACAGGGATCTGAGGTTTGACTGCTAAGGTAGAGCCCATTCTGCAGGAGTGCTATGGAGACAGTGGGGGTGGGAGTAGGAGGAGGAGGGGGAGGAATGGGAGCACCTGGAGAGGGTCAGTGGTCGTGACAGGGGTGCGGACCCGGTGAGTGGAGGATGTTGTCATCCACATCAAGGAAGGGCAGACTGAGACTGTGCAGATTGTATTTTGAGTATCTGAGATGTCACAGTGGCTAATTGGGTGCTGTTTGAGGCCCCCCCGGAAGTAGTCATAGGACATTGGAAAGTGCCATCCCTTCTTATAAGAACCCACAGGCTGATGTTTTAGGAGTTTCTCTGAGCCTTGATGAAGAGGAGCCAGAATGCTAGCCTGTGTCTTTAATGGAAGGTGCATCTTGTTGTATCTGAATATCAAATAGTTTGGATTTTAGAGTGATTCCCCACATTATGGATAAACACTATTACCAAGGGTGCTTGGGAAGTTGGGTTTTTTAAGATTTTTAAGATTTCATATTTTAAAGTTACATAAAGTTTGTGAAATGGGCAGCTAGGTGGCATAGTGCATAGAGTGCTGGACCTGGATTCAGGAAGATGAGTCTCATCTTCATGAGTTCAAATCTGGCTTCAAACACTAGTTGTGTGACTGTGAGCAAGTAACTTCACCCTTGCCTCAGTTTCTTCACCTGTAAAATGAACTGGAGAAGGAAATAGCGAACCACTCTAGGATCTTTGCCAAGAAAACCCCAAAAGGAGTCACGAAGAGTTGGAAACAACTCAGCAACAACAATAATCACAAAAGTTTGTGAACCAAACACTAGCTGTAATTTGGGAAAGTAGATGGCAGAAACCTAAGTGAGTTATTCATTTATTGTCGTTTGGGTGACCTAGAACCTCCTTCTTCTTTGCAGATGATGGCGATGATGCTGTGGACACTGGCCCAGCTCCAGGGTCATTGAAAGATGCCCAGATTTCTACAGACTCCGGTAAGTAGTTTTATCAGAGGGAGAAAACTTTTGAATAAAGGAAATGTCATAGATTGTGTAGCTTTTTAAAATGAGTACTGTCTATGAGCTTCCCTGGAGTTTATGTTTTAGTGAACTTCCCTATGGGCATATGCATTATGTGTGTACCTTCTCAGCTGAGGACAGGATAGGAGAAAGGGCTGTGAGTATGTCTTTATGCTAACCTGTGAAAATTTATTCCTTCCATTTTTACATCAACAAAACCACAATTGACCAGAGACCCCAAACAGCTGGAGTGTTTCCTGCACTTGATAGAGAAGGTGAAGGGTTTTTCTTGACCATCCACCAAGGATGAGAAATAAGCTCCTGTCATGTAGTTATCTTAAAAAGCTCTGCTTCTACAATATATTCCAGGCTCAGGGTCCACCCAGCCCAAATCTTCTTTATTCAGAGTCCTCTGTAGTGAAATCTGGGGTTTAGCATTTTTATCAGTGATTCCGAATCCATTGATGGCATATATCTCCCATTTATAAGTGACACAAACCTGGGAAGGATGATTAATATATCTAACACTCTAGTCCGAACCAAGAAGAACTAGAAAAAAGGACCAACCCTAAGAACAATAAAATTTGACAAGGATAAATATAAAATCTTACAACTGGGTTCTAAAAATCACCTTTTTCTTTTTCAGTGCTTCTATATATACTAGCCATGTGAATAACTTACTTCCTGTCTCTGAGCCAACGTTTGCATTTGGTTTTTTTAAAAAAGCAACTGTAGAAAGGATGTGGCAGGTATAGATGGATCGTTCATGGGTTTTAGTGGACCACAAATTTAATGAGTCAGCAGTGTGGCCAGAATAGATAATGTGAACCTAGGGGATGGGGAGGGGACCTGTGATTTCACTAGTATAATGAACTCTCAGATAGGGAAACTCCCTCAATCAATGTAAGTTGGCACCTTCTCTACAATTTGAAGGTCTTAAAAGGTTGCCTAGAGCACTGAGATTAAGTTTTTTGCCTAAGATCACCCAGTGAATATGTGTCCCAGGGGTGCCGAGAACCCCAGTCTTCTTGGTTTTAAGGCCAATTTTCTATCTGCTTTACTATGCTTCCTCCAATGTGAACTTTACTTAGTTGCCTCACTAGAGCTTGACTATTCAGAGTGAGGGGTCTGGATAGTTTTGGTCAGAGCATTTCTGGGAATATGGTACTCAAAAGCGGGCCCTACTTTTGTGTCAAAGACATTGATAAGCTTGAGTTCTTATAGAGGAGGGTGGACAGAAAGGTGAGGGAGGTGAGCTCTGGAGACCCTGAGAGATTGGTGGAAGAACTTGGGAAAATTTAGCTTGGCAAAGAGAAGGTCTAATAAGGGCACGGTTGCTCTCTCCACATATTTGAAGGGTTGTCATGGAAGAAGAATTCAATGTGCTGTGTAGCCCTAGAGAGCAGAAATGGGGACATGAGTGGCAAATGCAGATTTCTACTTGACAGAAGTCGAAAAACATGGACAATTCATCCTGTTCAAAAGTGGAACAGGCAGTCTTTGGAGGTGACCCTGTAAGGGGAATTCCTGTTAGATGTAATTGGGATACTCTCTGAGGTTGCTGTCAGAAAGGAAATGCTATAGTCCTGTGACCTTGTGGTCCTGCAGCAAGTCTTGCTTTTTGGAATTGTAGTGAGACTTATTGGACTTTGCTAACCAGGGTAGATGTGAACAGAGATAAGTAATGACAGGCTAAGAACAAACTGTCGGACTTTCAGCCTAGATAGAAACTTAATAGATTAACTCTCAGTTGCTCAGATCTGCCAGTTACCTAGCATCCTCAAGATGTAGGTTATACATTATCTTTTCCAGTTGGAATGTAAGCTGCTCGAAGGAAGGGGCTGTTGTTGTTTTGTTTTGGTTGTATCCCTCTCCCGGAAACCAGTACCAGGCATATGTGAAGTACGGAATGAATGACTGGTGACTTGACTGTGAGGTGCTCTCCAGCCTATATCCCTTGTGTCCCTTCTCCTTGCCCCTTCCCTTCAGGGATGCTGAGAGAAGAAAGAATAGACTTCACTTGGGGGGGCCACATACTGCCCCTGCCAGAGAAAGTGTTTAAACAGAGAGAATCACAGACTCTGTGAGCTGGAAGGGGCTGCAGGTGTTCTGTACTCCCACCGTCAACTCCCTTCCAGCTGCCTCCAACAGAAATCCATGACAAGTGATCACAGTCTCGGTTTTGAGACCTCTAGTGATAGGGAAACTCACTTTCTCCCTGAGGCAACTTATTCTGCTCCTGTGTAGAAATCTTTTGTTAGAAAGTTTTTCATAACATGGAACTTAAATATGCCTCTCTGAAATTTCTACACTTTGTTCCAGATGGAAGAAATCTAATCCCTCTTTCATAAGACTACTCATTAACCTTGGAAGACTGATGTAATGATCTCCTTAAGTCTTCTCTTCTCCCCAGTAAACATCCTCAGTTCTTTCCATAGATTCTTATGATCATCTCTTCTTTGGTTTCTATGTCTCTTACTATCCTCATCAGCCTCTTCTTCGTATATCAGTTGGTTAGTCACCTGGTATGTTTTAAAAAATAGCATTTTATTTTTCCCAATTACATGTAAAGACAATTTTTAATCTTTATTTTTAAAAAACTTTGAGTTCTAAATTTTTTCCCTCCCTAAGATGGCAAACAATTTGATATAGTTTTGTGTGTGTGTGTGTGTGTGTATGCAGTCATGTAAAACATATTTCCAAATAAGTCATGTTGTGAAAGAAGAAACAGACCAAAAGAAAAAAAAATATGAAAAAATTCAGAAAGTGAAAAAAGTATGCTTCAAGCTGCATTCAGACTCTATCAGTTCTTTCTCTAGAGGTGGATAACATTTTTCATCATTGTGTTGCTGAGAAGAGCTAAGTCATTCACAGTTGACCATTGTACAATGTTGCTGTTACTATGTACAGTGTTCTGGTTCTGCTCACTTCACTCTGCATCAGTTCGTGTAAGTCTTTCCAGGTTTTTCTGAAATCAGCCTGCTTCTCATTTCTTATAGCACATTAGTATTCTATTACAATTATATACACATCTTCCCCAATTGATGGGCATCCCCTCAATTTCCAATTCTCTGCTGCCACAAAAAGAACTGCTATAAATATTTTTTTAAAACCTAGTAGTGGCCTGTGTAATTTTTGATTACCGGATCAAGGGGTAGACACAGTTTGGTGGCCCTCTGGGCATAGTTGCAAATTGCTCTCCAGAATGGAAACTGGCATTTATCAAGTACATGCAATGTGCCAAGTACTCTACTCAGTGCTGGGGAGAAAAAGAAAGGCAAACAGTCCTGTCTGTATGTTCTAGTTTGAAAATATCTTTGCAAAGATGACGTGTCCTGATCCATGCCCAGCGCTCCAGATGGCCCAGCAGTGGTGGGTCTATGTATCACTGCTGTTGCTCTGCACAATATGCCTTGATCAGTGCAGCCTAAGATCCCCTCAGTTGTTCAGGTTACTCAAAGAGGGGTGGAGGGGATTGTGGTGATGGTGGTGGGAGCTCAGAGGAGCAACACCTCAGATGCTCTGCTTTTAGCTAAGTGGCAAGAGAATTTGGAAGACTGAGATAATTACTTTTCTCAGGCATTTAATAGACTTATCACAGCCCAATTAATGCAGCAGGGAGTCTCCAGATGGAACCAACAGAGAAGAAAAATGTTTTCATAAAAATCCCCAGGTGTCTAAATGCTGCTCACTAGGGAAGGCTGGAAAAGGGAAGGGGAAAAAAACCCCCAACATTTAATCCTTTGGAGGCCTAGTGGTGACTTCAGATTCAGAAGCCCCCAGACTGTGAGTTCTAAAAGGGACCTTCAGGCCCAGGATTAATGGGAGTATCACTAAGTAGGATCATCAGAGCTGGAAGGGACCTTGAAAGGCCATCTAGTCTGACTCCCTCATTTTACAGACAAGGAAACTGAGGCCCAGAGAGAAGAAAGGACTTGTCAAGGCATAAAGATACCAGGAACTAGACCTCAGACCTCCAGATCCTTCGAGTTCAGAGAATTGCTCTGTAAATGTTGGCACGTTTGCAGAAAAGATAACTGCTTGTTTTCTAGGGTAGGATAGGATGTTCCCAGCATGCATTTAAACATCTGCAGCCACAGAGCCTCCACGCCATGTCATTTCCCCTGCATCGGTGGAGCCCTCATGAAGTGAAATGATTCTGTTGGCTTCCTGCTCAGATCAAGGAGTATTCTTGCTTGCCACACAGAAGAGGGCAGGAAATGGTCTCTGGGCTTCCCATCTCTTTCACCCAATCCTCTTGCTATATGCAAATAACCCTAGAGTCCAGGCATCAATGTGACTATCTTCTTGTCTCTTCTCCTCTGACCCTTAGAACACTTGCAGTCTCAAGCACACTGGGAATTTTTTCTTGGCCTCACGTCCTCTGACTGTGGGAATCGTTTTAGCCAGAAGGAAAACCCTCTCTAGACAGATGGAGAATAGCAATTATTAGAGGTAGCTACTGGTTTAAATGAGCAGCCTGAATTAATGGATTTTGACTGCATTGCAGGTAAAGGCCATTATAATCATCCTCAGGCTCAGATTTAATTGCGTCATTCCCCTGCTCAGACACTTCGCAGTTTCCTCTTATCTGCAGAATAAAATACAAATTCAGGCTGACATTTCAGGTATCATGCTACAATTATACCTTGTGTTACCCAGCACCCAGCACAATGTCTTGTATGTGGTAGGCACTTAATCAATGCTTACTGATTTGACTTATATAACCCTATTTCTCACACTGGGCAATCTCTTCCCAGAAAGAAGTAGGAACAGCTCAGAAATGCGGAGTTCAGATACGCGCCATGAGGTAGAATTTGATCTTGTGCTTTTCATCATAGGTCATAACTGGCTGGTATATCGGTGTATAGGAAGACACTTGGACCCAGTTCACTGGCCTCCACAGTCACCATCCACTCCCCTGCCCCCACTCTTTTATTCTCTGATCTGTACACAAACAGGGACTTCCCAGCAACCTACTTGCTCTCAACCACATTGACCCAACATGTCACTCTTTCACACAATCCTTGAATCACTTGCACGACAAAATCTTTCTCCTGTTGAGCTGTGGTGAAGTCTCTACACACTCAGTGCCCTCTTACTATAATCACTGGTCCTCTCTGCACACGATTCTGTAACTACTGCTCTCTCTCTCATAAAAATTTATTTTGATGCTATCCACATCCAAAGAAAGAACTATGGAGTTTGAATGCAGATTGAAGCATACTATTTGCTATTTTTTTCTTCTGTTTTGTTTTGTTTTGTTTGCTCTTTCTGGTGGTTCCTCCTATTGGTTCTAATTCTTCCTTACAACATCACTAATGTGAAAATATGTTTAATAGGAACGTATATGTATAACTTTTATCAGATTGTGTGCCATCTTGGGGAGGGAGGGACGGGGAGAAAAATTTAAAACTCAAAAGTTTATGGAAGTGATTGTTGATAAATCAAAATAAATTTTTAAAAAATAATTTTAAAAATTTATTTTGAGGCAAGTTTGTATTGATGTCTTGTTTTTCACATCATGATAGTTATCCCCAGTATCTCTTTTCTTCTCCTACTCCCAGAGAGCTGTTCTATATAACAAATAGTATTTCTTAAAGACTAAAAAGAAGAGGGAAGCACAGTTGATCAATACATTGAGGAAGTCTGAAAACCCGTGGAATATGCCAGGCCCGTGACCTCCAGCCTACACAAGGGAGTGGGTTAGAGAAGTCCCCTCATCTTTCTTCATTTGAGTCCTGCTTGATCTTCATCATTTTGATACCTTCCCTTGGTTTTTCTTGGTGGATAGTTGTTTTTTCCATTCACATTGGCGTAGTTACTGTGTAGACTTTCTTGGTGCTGCTTGCTTCTCTCTGCATCAGTTCAGGTTGCTATCTCCGTGCTTCTCTGCATTTATCACATACATAGTTTCTTGCGGCGCAGTAACATTACGTTACCTTCATGTATTTAGTTTGTCTAGCTGTTTCCCATTCGATGGGCATCTCTTTGGTTTCCAGTTCTTTGCTATCACAAAAAAGGGCCGCTGCAAATATTTTGGCATCTGTGGAGACCTTCTTCTTCTTGATGGCTTCCTTGGGTTAGTATAAGCCAGTAATGGAGTCTGTGGTTCAAAGAGTATGAATGTTTTAGTCACTTTATTTGCATAATTCCAAATTGCTTTCCATAATGGTTGTACCACTTTACAGGTCTGCCAGCAATGGATAGCATGCTTATTATTCTATAACCCCTCCAGCATTGGTTACTCCCGGGTTTTGTCATCTTTGCCAGTTTGAAAGGTGTGAGGCAAAAACCCAGGGTTGTTTTGATTTGCGTTTCACTTATTAGTGCTTTAGAGCATCCTTTCTTGTGATTGTGAATACTTTGCAATTCTTCTTTTGACAACTCTTTGTTTCTACAAATATGCATATGTAGGTATAAGTATATATATGTATGTATATATATACACATGTATATATAGGTACATATACTGTGTGTACACACACACACACACACACACACCCCCTAAACCACTTACCTATTGGGGAATGGCCATTAGTCTTGAATTGGCTTATAAAATGATGATCACTGCCCAGGTCTTCCCTCCCTCCCAGGACTGTTGTAAAGATTAAATTACATGATAAACATGGAAGTGCCTCTGAACTGTGGAGCATTGCACATATGTAAGGGATTGTAGTGGGAAAAGCATTGGATTTGGAGTCAGGAAGACCTTATGCAATGCAGATGCATGATTATAAACAAGTCACTTAATGTCTCTGACCCTCAGTTTCTTCATCTGTAAAATGGGAATAATAGAAGGCAGGTAGGCAGAAAGGAAACAAGCATGGAGGTGCCTATTATGTCCCTGGCACTGGAGGAAACACTTTACAAAAATGATTTCACAACAACCCTGGGAGATATTATTATCCCCATTTTACAGTTGAGGTAGACAGGGCGAGAGATTTACTCTGGGTCACTCAGCTTGTAAATGTCTAAGCTAGATTTGAACTCAGGTTTTCCTGACTCCAGGTCCAGCACCCTATCCACCACTACCTCTACCTCTAAAACAAGCAGTGGTAATGATTACTAGTACTTAATCTCTAGGATCAAATAAAATGCTTTGTGTCAAGTACTTTGAAAACCTTAAAGCACTATGTAAATATCGGCTCTTGTTATCATCATCATCATCATCATTTGAGAAGCAGCATTATGTAGTGATCAGAGAACCAGACTTAAAATCAGGAAGGCCTGGAAGTGAGGCCCGCCTCCGACTGGGACTCTGGACAAATCACTTCATCCCTTGGGATTCTAGGGGTACCTCTGTAAGACTGTAAGTCAAAGAGGAGGTGCCAGCCTCCATCTTTAGAAAGTGTTTTTGTACCTGAGAGTTCTCCATGGCCATGAAATTACACGTACGATTCCTATCCCCTATCTGTACTTCTTTATAACAAGTAATCGAAATTGTTAGTCGTGAAAAGGGCAACACCCACAGCGGGTATTAATTGGCTGCTGCATATTTCCAACCTGTATCTAAGATTTGACATCAAAAATAGAAAAGATTTGATTCAAGAGATGTAAGATCAGAAAATCCTAAGTACTTAACAAAAGCAAATGATAACAGGTGGGCAGTGCCTTAAATACCCACCAAACAGAAAGCGTCCCAGAGGAAGGCTCCCGGCATGCTGGATAGATCCTCCTTGTGGGATTTATGGGAAGATGTAGAGAAGAGTTAAATAGGGAGGAATCTGAAACCTAAGGAAGGGGAGGTGACTGGTCCAAGGACAAGCAGACATGGACGTATTGCAGTCTACACTGTTGTGTTGAAGTCTACACTGTTGTAGGGAGGGCACACCCACGTCATGGAGATCCCTGTAAGATCACAGAGCCTTGTAAGTCTCAAAGTTAAGACATTGTTAAAAACCATATTCCTAGCCCACACTAGCCTGCAGTGAAAAGCATCTACCACCCAGGTGTCCTATAAAGAACTGTCAAGTGAGGAAATACAATAGAAAAGGTGTCCCCTGCACCTTCTCCTTACCATCCTTTTCTTTGTAATGCCTGTGCTACTGAGTGTGCTAAGTTTTAGTGTATGTTCTTATGTGGGAGTCTGGGGGTCAGTCTAGGCTCGAGTCAGGAGACAGTCTGGGGCTAAGGTCAGAGGTCAGCCAGGAACTGCATCAGGGCTTCGTTAGATTGTTTTAGAGCTGGAGTCGGGTCTCTGCCTGGAACTTCATTCAGTTTTTTTTTTCTCCTTGTCTTGCCTAAAAAGAAAAAAATGTTGCACTTAAGAAATTCTATGCCTTTTTTTCCTCTTAGGCAAACAGACATTGAAGATCTTTGATGGTAGCGATGCCGTGAAGCGCAACCAATTCCGGCTGATCACCACTCCTAGGATAACAAAGACAGGGGAGGTCGTGGTAAGAGATGGCATAGTCTCGGATGGTAGGGGCTGGATTGACCCCCAGCTCGTAGTCCCCTCTAAGGGTACAAGCTAGACCAATCTGCTTTATCTTCACCGTATTGTCTGTGCCATTCAACTCAATTTAATTCAGCAGACTTTTATTAAATAGCTTCTGGATGTAAGACGCTGGGGTTGGATACAAAGGAAAAACCCAAAGTGATTCTTGATCTTGTAGCTTATTTTTCTGAGGGGAGGATGCATTATTACTATGATTCACAGTTAAATTGAGAAAGGAGTGAGCTAACACCTGGGGAAGTGCTGGGAATGCTACGTACAGGAGGTGGCGTTTGAATTGAGCCTTGAAAGGAAATAAAAATGGTGAGAATCAGACACAAGGTTCATCCAGAGCCTTGGGGCATTCCTACACTAATTGAGTCATCTCCTAAATATTTCAGAAACTGTATACACATATTCTTAGAGAAATGCCTCTTCTTCTGGTCTTGCAGGAGGCGGCCCTGAGGGCTTATTACATTAACGAGGACCAGCGAGACTTTGAGCTGCAGACATTAGCTCAGCAGGCCATGGCTGATTGTGCAACTCACAAAAATGGAGGCCCAGAGGATGCCAGCAGCATGAGTGTTCCTTCCGTATTCAGAGAGTCCATGCCTGAAGCCTGGATCATTCATGCCAAGCCCAAGGATCATGAAGTTATAAAGATTTACCCAGCTTGGCTGAAGTGAGTGGAGGGGTAGCTCCCGGATGGGAACGATGTCAGGGTGGGAGTTGAAACCAGGACTTCCTGACTGCAAAGAAGGAAGACTATTCACTAGACCATGTTTCCTCTCCACTAATTACATTAGTGAGGTGTCACAGTGAGGAAGGTCATTCCTGACCAGAGAATCCAGGGGTCATGGCAGTCTGTTCATAACCAGCATTTGTTTGTCTTCATGTGGATGTATTTGTTAACCTGGATCTAAATGGAGCTGATTGGTTTCTCCACTTAAAACGGGGACAAGTCCAGTAGGGTGCTAGTAAATATTTATGGTTTGTTTTGTTTTGTTTTTGGTGAGGCAGTTGGGGTTAAGTGACTTGCCCAGAGTCACACAGCTAGTGAGTATTATATGTCTGAGGCCAAATTTGAGCTCCGGTCCTCCTAACTCCAGGGCCGGTGCTCTATCCACCGTGCCACCTAGCTGCCTTGCTAGTAAATATTTAAAAATCACCTCTGGAAAAAAAAATGTACATGCAACACACCTCTATGTTTAATTGGCATTAATAACATTTTTCCATCACTTTCTTAAGTCTGGATAAGTCAGCAAAAAGTCCAGCTCCGATTTGTAGTATTTGCCAATATCTGATGTATAAATGCTCAGGCTGAAAATTTAACAGCTGCCTCTTGTGAGCTGGTTTGAGCTGGCTCCAGCATACCTTTGGATGAGGCCCTTTGTATTGGGAAATGGGCAGGAATTTGTAGACTCTGCTATCGACCCCTGAGAGGAATTGGCTCCCCCTCTTCTGACTCCCCATACGTCCCATATTTTATACAGCCTTTAAATGAATCCAGCTCAGCCAGGCACTTTCCCTTTCCCAAGAGATCTGAGACAGCCTGCTCAGAAACTTCAGTTATTTGAAATCCTTTTTCCCTCCAGGGTTGGAATGGCTTATGTCTCCATTCGAGTGGACAAAGAGAGCACTGCACAGACAGTGATGAAAGAAGTCCTCCCGTTGCTGGGGCGGCCGGTAAGCATGCAGGCTCTGGCTACTCTGGCATTGAGGGGATGTTGCCCTTCCAGGCTGATGCTCGTACCCCTCTCTCCTGCAGGTTCTCCTGAAGTATACTGTTGTATTTGGTACATCAGTCACATGGTCATTCAGCAAGCTTTTCTTAAGTGCTTACCACCTTCAGGGCCGTGTGCACTCAGCTATGTGTGCTCATATAGGAGAAAGAAGATGCTGGATTGGAGTCAGTCCTAATTCTGCCGCTTACTAACTCTGGGTTTTGTCACCTCCAGAATAAAGGGCTGGAATAATGACCACTGTGACTAACATAGATAGAATACTTTGAAGTTGGAAAGTGCTTTTTTTTTCTTTTGAGCAAGGGCAAAACAAGGGCAAATATGGAAGCTATTTACATTTTGCAGGTGAGGAGAGTGAAGGGTTAACTTCATAGAGGTTAAATGAGTTGGCCATGGTCACACAGCTAGGAAGTGTCACAGGCAGGATTTGAACCTATGACTTACTACTCCAAGTCCAGCCTCCAACTGCTGTTTCATGCCTTCCAAACTCTAAATTCTATGAACCTCTGTTATAGATTTAATATACTACAACTTGTTCAGCCATTCCCCAGTTGATGGCCATTCCCTCAACTTCCAATTCTTTGCCACCACAAAAAGAGCTGCTATAAATATTTGTGTACAGGTGGGTCCTTTTCTCATTTGTATGATCTCTTTGGGATACAGCATTTTTATAGCCCTTTGGGCATAGATCCAAATTGCTCTCCAGAATGGTTGGATCATTTCACAACTCCACCAACAATGTGTTAGTGTTCCAATTTTCCCACATCTTCTTCAACATTTATCATTTTCCTGTTTCTTCATGTTGACCAATCTGATAGGTGTGATGTGGTACCTCAGAGTTGTTTTGATTTGCATTTCTCTAATCAATAGTGATTTAGAGCATTTTTTATATGACTATTGATGGCTTTAATTTCTTCATCTGAGAACTGCCTGTTCATATCCTTTGACCATTTATCAATTGGGAAATGACTTGTATTCTTATAAATTTGACTTAATTCTGTATGTATTTTAGAAATGAGATCTGTTATAGATTTAAGAAAGATATAATACTTCCATTTCTGAGCTCACAGCCCAGTAGGATCATATTTTGACCTAATCATATTTCATTATCACTGGGCAGGGTATACTGGAAGACAGTAAGCCAAGACAGCTGTAGTAAGTTATATTCTAATTGCATCTCTTTGGGCAGACCCAGAGGATAGACAGTTTGGTAAAGAGAGCACTTGAGTTAGAGTCAGGATGATTAGGTTCTGATTTTAGGTCTCCCTTTACTGTGTGGCCTTGAGTAAATCCCTTCTCTTCTCTGAGCCTGAGGTTTGTCATTTATAAAGTTAGGGTGTTGGACTGAACACACAACCTTTGGGCTCCCTTTTCATTTTGATAATCTGAGATATAATTCATCTTCAAGTCTTTTCCTGGGTTTGAGTCATTCCATTGGGCCTTTCTCTTTCTGTTTGGGAAGCTGAGATATTGGGATGAGTGATGGAGCAATTATTGGAAACCACCTCATGAACAAGGTACGTTGGCTTTGGCAAAAAGGTTCATAAAATGTTTTTGTCTAACCCCTGGCAGGCAGAAAGTCTCAAGAATTTCCGGCTTGTGGAGGTGCTCATGGGCAGTAAGCAAGGTAAGATGGGGTCTGGAGCTGCTGATGAGGCCTGAAGGGACAGGATAGACCACGGTCTTAGCCGGCACCATCAGTTTTATTATACCAGGCCCCATAGGCCAAGGTCTAGCCCTGGTGGATTCTTCTTGCTGGGATTTCATATTATACATTACCATGATTCTCTGGGAAGGTAGGGGAGGAAAGCAACCTCTATTGCTGCTATGGCCACGGAAGAGAGTACCAAACCGTTTCCTATTCTGGCCTTATAGGTAAGCAGCAGATAAAAACAGAAGGAGCCCAGGGCTGGGAGCCAACGTTCTCCAAACCAGCACATATACTTGGAGCTGAAGGTGTCGATGCAAAAGAGAGGGCAGTGCAATGTGGCCCTGGGGAGCCTGGCTATCTGGGTGGCTTCCCTTATGTGTCTGTGTTCCCCAGGGTTCGTTATGTCTCTTGGGAGGTCTTATTTACCCGGCCATGATGTAAAGTGCTCAAGGTCTTGGAGTCTGAGATAAAAACTCTTGGTCATGAGGTCAGCAACAGCTGCATCCTTGACAATCCTTTTGAAGCCCTAGGTAGGCCTAGGTCAGAGGTTTAGGAGGAAGCACAGCCTTCCTTGAACGCTGTCCTGGATCATGAAAATAACTGTCATCAGGATCCCACCCCAACAGTACTACAAAGACCTCTCCTATGTAGCCCAAGGTAGCTTTGGTATTGAAAGAGCCCTAGGCATGGCTCCAAATCCCAGCTGTGCCCCTTACTGATTCTGTAAACCGAGTCATGTCCCTTCCTCTCTGTGGGCCTCAGTTTTCAAACCTCTTTCATCCATCAGTCCAATGGTCCCTGGGTTTAATACCTGGCTTTGTTGCTTATTCGGTTGCCCAACACTGGGCAGCAAACTCCTTTTTCATCTGTAAGTCTCGGTTTTATCATCTCTCAAGTGGAGCTGATACGGTTTCCTCTGCCCCCATTCTGGGTTGTTGTGAGAAAAGCAGCTTGTATACCTTAAACTGGTGGCATCAGGCTCAAAGAAATGGGCTGCTAAACTGTATGCGAGGATCCCTACAGGCCGCATATTGACTTAGAAAACCCAAATTAACATTATCTGATAATCTTGTATTACTTTTTGTTTATTTCGTAAAGCATTTCCCAGTTACATTTGAATCTGGTTTGGGCCCCACTAAGGAGTTTTGTGGCCCCAAAACCACCCTACTGGGTTCTACTCTTCTTAACATCACCATTATTATTTTCCCATGTTGCTCCAGTGACTCCAGTTCTTCTCAATTCCTTTAGTTCAACAAAAGCTTTATTAAGCACCAACTTGGTGCGGAGATTTTACTGAATGCTGAGGGAGATAGAGAGCTGGGATTCACAACAGTCCAAGATGAATATTCCAGCTGCGCCCCTAGGTCTGCCCACCACCTGACATTCCATCTCCTTCCTTTTCTGGTGCCACCCTCATTGCTGTTAACTCTGTCTCCCTCTTGAAATTATTTCATGTTGCTCTGCATCTACTTCGTACTTATATACGTGTTTAGGAGTATCACTTTGACAGCTGTGTGGAGGATGGGTTAGGGACAGATGTTGTGTACATAAATGCAAAGAAATGTGCATGCATATTGTATACAGGAGAAATAAACATACATGTTGTAGGCAAGTGTGATAGAATTTAAGTTCTTCCAAGGCAGGAAATGCTTTGTTTTCCAGCTTTGTATCCCTAGCACCTAGGTCAGCACCTTGTACTTAGTAGACACTTAATAGGGAGGTGCTTCTTGAATTGAAATGAAAACAGTTTAGCTATGGGCCGAATGAGTCCACCTTTTCCTTCCCTCCTCAGAGCCCTCTCTTTGCACAAACTCATCTTCCTTCTAATCTCCTACACTTGGACCACTAGGTTCCGTACATGTCAAATAGCTCACCTTTTAAACTGAGGGCAGGCAGCGACCTTTGTCAATAGTGTTTCCAAACCCATGAACAATCAGACAGTTGATTGTTTTAAGCAGAAGTCTGACTGTTGTTTTCAAATTCTGTGATCCTTCAACTCCTCTTAATGTCTTTTGAATCCTTTTAGTTCAGCGGATGACACTGACTGATGAGGAATTAATTCTCAACAGGCTTAGAGACATCCGAAAGGTAATTGAATTATGATTCATTAACTCTCTGTTATATTTCTTGGGCATAGGTTCAAAGAAAAGTTGGGAGGGTGTGGTGGAGTTTTTAATGGTTCTCTCGCTGAAAACAATCTTCTGGGTCCAGGAGGGTCTTAACCATCAGAATTTCTAGAGGGACATCTTACTAACGATGGTCCCTGGGAAATATTCCACTTTTAGTTTAATTCAGCAAACATTTGCTGAGCATCCACTATACGCAAGGGCCTCTTTCCCTCTTCCATGCTGTGGGATTTTGTTTTATTCTTAATAGTATTTTATTTTTTCCAATTACATATAAAGACAATTTTTAACATTTGTTTTTTATAACATTTTGAGTTCCAAATTTTTTCTCTCTCTCCTTTCCCTTTTCCCCTCCCTCATACAGTAAGCAATCTGATATAGGTTATATATGTGTAATCATGTAAAACATATTTCCATATTAGTGATGTTGTGAAAAAAGAAACAATTTGCAAAAGAATTATAGTTTACAAAAGGAAAAAAATGCTGTGGAATTTTGAAGGGAAAGGAGAGGAGAAGTTATGGAAGGTGGTTTTTTCCCTTGGTAACCCATAAAGTTCTGTAAATGATACTTTCATTTACACACACACACGTTATATATACACATATGTGTATATGTATCACATACCTATATATAAATATATACTCATACATATACGTATATATGAAAGTATGCATTGCATGTCTCTATGTATACTACATATGTATATGTATATATAGTATAATATTGTGTATATAATAATAATGTGTATGGGTGGTATAATAGAGAAAGCCCTGGTCTAGTCATCAGGAGACCTGGTTTGGGTCCTGGTTGTTGACCTTAGCTTACTGTGTGACCTTAGGCAATTGATTTTGCTTCTCTGAGCCTTCCTTTCCTTAGCAGGAAAGATCAGATTATGCCCTAGGACGCCCTCTAGCTCCAAGATCCCATGAGTCTGTGGTTCTCTGATCTCTCGTGGGCTGTTCAGAATGCCTCAGATACATCAGACTATGGGAAGCGTTATGTATGGTTCATAGAACACGAGATCTCAGAGATGGAGGAGACTTCAAAGGGCATCTGGTCTAGCTGCTAAATAAATCATTAATGCTTTCTACAAGTGCTAATCTAGCAGGTGCTTGAAGGCCTCCAATGATGAGAAGCTCACTACCTGCTAGGGTGGCCCATTCCATTTGTAGGAAGGTCTCAGTGTGGGGAAATTTTTCCTGATGTAGAGTTTAAATCTATGTCTCTGTGATTGCTACTCACGGCTCCTATTTTTACCTTTTGGGGCCAGAGGGAACACGTCTAATCCCTTTTTCTTTTCTATGTGACAGATGTTGGAGGACAGCTGTCATGTTCTCCTTGAGTTTCCTCTACTCCAGGCTAAACATCCATAGTTTCTTCACCAGATGCTTGAATGGCCTATTCTGTAGTCCTCACCTTATTCTGACTGTCTTCTGGCTGTGCCTCAATTTGTCAAAAACTTTCCTAAAATGTGCCAACTGTTTACAGCACTAGTCTAACCAAGGGAAACAGTTGGGCTAGCCTCTGTTCCTCTGTTAATGCAGCTGAAGACTGAAGGGTTTTGGCTACCATGTCATGGTGTTCACTCCAGTTAAGTTTTGGAGTCTACTAACCCTACCTCCCCACCCCCGATCCGGGGATCTTTTTCTGCCCAAACTGTTTTCTAGACGGGCTGCTCCCATCCCATACTTAGGCAGCTGAGTTTTTGAGTCCAAGTATAAGCTTCCAGTGTAATGGATTTTGGGGACAAGAGGATTATGTCATGGAGCAAGTCCTGTGACCTCCTTGGGCCTCATTTGCCTCGTCGGTAAAATAGAGAGGTACTCAGTGATCCCTCTGAAGCTCTCAGTTCTCAGCTCCTACCCAGGAGTTCACATTCATGCCTGTGAAATGTCTTAGATTCTGCCCATCATTCTGTCCTGTCAAGGCATCATTGGATCCAAGTTTTTGGGGGACACTTTCTGTTTCCTCTAACCGCGGCAAGCCTCTTGTCCTCCTCGTTCATCTTTTTTTCTCCTCCTCATTTTGCTCTCTCTTCCCAGTGTGAGTCCCTCTTCTGTCTCCTTCCTTGGTTCTCACCTCGAATCAGAGGCTGTCAGAGCCAGGAGGGATCTTCGTGATTATTCAGTTGAGGCCTCTGCATATAGGGATGAGGAAACTGAGGTCCAAAGGCAGGAAGTGTTTTTCCCAAAGTTACACACCAAATTAGAGCCCAGATCTCTTGAGTCCTAGGCCAGGCCTCTTCCCCTCTGCACTAAGTAGCTTCCCGGGCTGCTGTCAGATTGATTGCCAACCCAAGCGGGTGATTTTCTGTGTTCATGATAATCCTGTCACCATCCCCAAGCACCTCTGGGTTCATTGTCACTTTTCTTTATTTCCAGACTTCCATACGTCAAATGAACCAAACGAGATTTTATGTGGTGGAAAATGACGATGCCGCCACACAAGTGAACCTGTTTGTTGGGGGCCTGCCCCCCCAGCTCTCTGCTGAAGAATACACTCATATCCTAAAGGAGGATTTGGCTATCAAAAGTGAGTAAAAAAAGAAATCCCTCCAAAACCACCTTTTTCTTAAAGAAATTGCCTTTGCCTGTTCCCTTGTCATTATGATTTCCTTTCTGCTTTTGACTATATAAGAATTTTCTGAGCAGTTTCATTTCCCCTGTTCCCACTTGCCTCTCTCTCTGAATTTTACTGCCGCCATTTTTAATCTTACCCTTGAGAAGGAACCATCCCAAGGTGAGGAAACAGAAGAGGAGCATCCCCTGGCTCTGCCCTCAGGTGCTCACTGGATCAGGGAGACTGAAGGAACATATTCTTCAGGGCCTGCCCTCAGGGAATGTCACAGTCTTGGGGAGACAGAGGAGAAGCCTGCCATAATCTGGTTCCAGCCTACATTTCCAGCTTCATCAGACATTACTCTCCTATGTTTTACAGTCTAGCCAAGCCAGCTTTCTTTCTCTTCCTAACACACGGCACCATCTCCCATCTCCCTTTCCTATCTCCATGCCTCTATACTGCTGGTTTCCTCCATTGCTGGAAGGCTCTCCAGACTCAATTCCACCTGTGGGATCCCTCCCCTCCTTCAAAACATAGCCCCGCCTTCTACATGAAGCCCTTCCTAATTGCCTCAACTGCTAGGGCCCCAACTCCCTAAACTATCTTTCATTACTTTTTATTTATTCTTTATATGCCCATATGTATAAATGTTGGCTCCTCTGGTTGAAAGTAGACTCTTAGAGAACAGTGACTGTTTCATTTTTAATCTCTGTATCCTCAGTGCCCTGCACATAGTGCTTAATAACGTGCTTAATAAGCACTTAATCAATGCTTTTTGATTAATTGATTACTCTTAGGAGAGCTCAACGTCTTGGGGAGGCAGAAAAGGAGTAGATTAAAGCCCTGATTTTAGGGAGCCTACAGGATGAGGGAGACAAGACTGATTACATATGAAAGAGAGACTGTTACTTGATGGTATATAGAGATCAACTGTTTAAAACTGAGTTTAATTTAGGTATAAAATGCACATACAGACTGAAGAGCTGTCTGTAGTCAGGAAGGGAAGTCTTTGTTATCTGTCTTAGAGAAGGCTTCCTGCATGAGGCTATTCTTGAGGTGGATCTTGAAGAAGATTATTCTCCCAGTTTCTTTTTGTTGGGGGGGGGTGGCTCTAGAAAATAGTTGGTATGGGAAAATATCTGGGGAGTTTAGTAGGTGACAAAATTCAACAGAGTGAACAGCCAACAAAACCTAATCTCAGGCTACATTAGCAGAGGAAGAGTGGCTACAATGAACGGGGACAGAGTCCCAATCATTTCCTCTCTACCCACATCTATTTTACCACAAAGAGATAGGGCATATTTTAGGAAGGTTTTTAGAATTCTTGCCTGATTTTTTGGTTGACATTTCACATTTCACGAATTCAGTCCGGGCACTCACATTGACTTCCTAGTCAATACAACAAATGTTTATTTGTTAAGCACTAGTACTATAACTATATGCTGGGTGTTTATGATGCAAAGTTCAGCCAACAGTCTAATTACAGAGATAAGATGCCAGCACAGGCCATTGTAATATCTGACATCCTAGGTCGTTTCCTGGATGCCTGATGGTCAAGCCAGGCTTCTCTTTGTCCATCTGTACAATGAGGACATTGAACTAAATGGTCTCAAAGAGCCCTTCTAGCTCTGGAGTTCCCCAGACTGAGACCATCTCTTCTCCTTGACAGTTCCCATCAGTCAGCCTGCGGAAGGGGCCGTTTCAGCTGTGGGGACAGACAGAGAGGGGAAAGGCTTACTAGAGACGTGGTTAGAATTTGTAGGATTCCAGTCCCAAGGGATTGGGAAGTTGGAAAAGTTTGATTTTTGTTTTCTCTGTTTACAGCAAATCTAGTGACAGTAACTCACGTTTACACAAATCAAGGTAAGGAGAGTATATTGTATGCATGTTACATAGCTTATGTATCTATCTGTATCTGTTATAGAGCTTATGTGTCTGTTATGTCTATTGTATTGTTAGTCCTTTGTTCTCAAAGAGGACCAGTGACATCAGGAGGATGATGTCTTAATTTGTAAGTGAATTGGATTTAAGTGAAGCAGAGCTATGCAAAGTCATCAGCCTCACATTGTATGTATTGATAAGGTATATCATAAAGAGCCTTGGAATTGGGGACCAGAAGGTCCAAGCCAAAATTTAATTTAATCTCTTTTGCTTGACAGTGAGGTAACATTAGAAAGCCCCTCTAACTCTCTGAGCCTCAATATTCTCAATGGTAAAATGGGGATAGTACTTTTACTCCCTAACTCACAGTTTTGTTGTGAGAATCAAGTGAGATGATATGTAACTTTGCAAACCAGCTGTAAATGTCAGCTAATATTCTCTAATGCAAGCCCCAGGTGAGATGATGACTTTGCTAATTAAGGTGAGTTGTAATGAGTTATTCTTCTCAGCTCTACTTTGAATAATTTATAAATCTTTTCTGGCTAGATCTGTCTCCTAGGGAAACAGCATGGATTCAAAGCGGCTGGTAAAAATTATTTGGGATGTTCAATGTATTCACTTTCAGATCTGAAATGTTTCTTACAAGATAAGAATAGAAGATGGAGATGGAGAAGCCTGGTCCCAAAGGGTGTTGTTGCCAGCCCCCAAATTCTTCTGTCTATTAGATGTCCATATCTCCTACCCACAATCACATGCAGTACAGGAAAGTGGAAAGAGCGTAGACTGGAAGTCAAGAGGCATAGGTTCTAACCCCAACTCTGTCACTGACTTTCTCTGTGATGTCAGGTAACGTTGCCATTCTGAGCCTCAGTTCCTTTCCCTGAAGATGGGAATAAGGTTATGTCTGGTCCTGTTGACCACCCAGTGATATTGTAAGGATCAAAAGAGAGAATGGAAAGGATGGACTATTCATAAGTGTTTGGTAATATTATGAAGACAAAGAGGAAAAGAGAGGAGACAGAATTTTTGCAGAGGGACAGAGCATCAGATCTAGAATAAAAAAAGCTCAAGGGCTTGGTTCTCCTACTTACTAGCTGTATGATCCTGGCCAGTTTGCTTCCATTCCCTGGGTCTCAGCTTTCTCATTTGTAAAAGGAAGGAAGGAAGGAGTTATTAAGTGCCTATAATGGGTTATCCCCACTTCACAGTTGTAAAAACTGAGTCAGGTAGTGGTTAAGTTCCTTGCCCAGGGTCACACAGCTAATGAGTATATAAGGTCAGTTTTCAGCTCAGGTCTTCCTGACTTCAGGCCCCATGCCCTATCCATAGTCCTGGACCCATTTAGTAGACTAGTGAGGCCTGTGGAACCCTTTGCAGAATAATGTTTTTAAATTAATAAAACAAAATACATGGGATTAAAAAGGGAATTATAGTGGCATGTCATAGGGAATTATAGTGAAATAATAAAGTGTTTTTAAAAAAAAACAAGTTCAGAGACCCCAGGTTAAGAACCCTTAGGCTGGATACGCTAGAAGAGGTCCCTTCCGGCCCCAGCATTCCGTGATATGGATCTTCTTCAACTCTCAGAAATGGAAGGGAACCCCAGAGGTCTCTAATTCAGTCCACCCCTATGCAGGCATCCCCTCTGCAGTATTTCTGACAAGTGAACCATCCAGCTGCTGCTTGAACTTCTAATAATGAGGAACTTGCTACCCTGCTGTGGGAGTCCATTCATTCTGCTTTGATTATTAGGAATTCTTCCTTATAATAGGGTGTCCTCAAAGCCAGTGAAGTTTTAAGCTTTAATAGCCTAAATATTGTTATATATTTTAATTTGTTTCTATCATATAGATATTATTTACATATCTTAAGCTCTAATAGCTTATGTTATTATATATTAATATTGATTATATATTATTTTTAATATTTAATAGCTCTTAATTAAGTATTTTTATATCCCAAAAGTCTTAGTGCAGTTTAAAGTTTTAAAAGCTTAGATAGAATTCTATATTAATGTTGTAGATTACTGGATTAACATTTTATCATGCTTATAATATATTCATATGATAAATATTATAACATGTAAATACGATACACAAGATACTACAATCTATGTAATATAATATTTAATCACTTTTAATAAGCCATGAAAGATTAAAACTGCAGTACGACTTTGAGGATGCCCTGTCTTGAGCCAATACCTGCTTTCCTATAGCTTTCCTCCATTACTCCCAGGTTTGCTTTCTGGGACTGAGCAGAAGACATCGAATTCCATTTCTATGTGATAGACTGACTTTCAGATACTTTGAGATGGCTCTTATTTAGCTGAGGAGATTGTCTAAGTGACCATAGCAATAGAGATCAGAGCTGATGTTAGCAGAGTTAAGCTATTGGCCATGCAGGTGTGACAGACTCCTGCGTGAGTCACTAAATTTTGCTTGAGAGCAGTTTTTTTTTGTTAGGCAATTGGGGTTAAGTGACTTGCCCAGGGTCACACAGCTAGTAAGTATCAAGTGTTTGGTCTGAGGCTGGATTTGAACTCAGGTCCTCGTGACTTCAGGGCCAGTGTTCTATATCCACTGGGCCACCTAGCTGCCCCTTGAGAGCAATTTTTAAATAAAACAAAATGAGAAGGGTGGGGGGGTGGAGGAAGCAAACACAAAAGACAGCTCTCATTCTTGCTTCCCACCCCCTCTCCCCCGTCACGTCCCATCCTCACAACAAGTCTTTTTTCTCCCCATTTCCTTCCATTTCTTATGTGGTGTGATATGCGATCCTGTTCTCCCGACTCTGATCAATTTCTAGTTTGTCACAGCCCCACCAGCTGTCCTTTCCATGTGCTCCTTTTAGAGAGATGCTTCTCTTATGGAAAATATGATATACTTGTGGGGTTGATGCACAGAGAGAATTCGTAGGATTGATTTAGAGCCAGTAAAAACCTTAGCCCAGGATTGAGAGCTTTCGTCTGGGTCCCTGGAGGGCATATTCATATTGATGAGATCATGGACCTATGGAGGTGTCAGTATCACAGGGAACCCAGAGCTCATTTAGCCCATTCCCAGTGTTATGAGGCCAAGCCAGAGGAAAAGACTTATCCAAAGTCCCAGAGCTAGTAGGTAGGAGAGCAGGGTTTTGAACCCAGGTTCAAATTGATTCTTGATTCGCTTAAATGGCTGAGTCTCTATGTGGTTTTTCTCCTCCAGTGGCAGGTGCTAGGTGATGCCATTGTGTGTAGTAAGGCTCCAGTATAAGATTCTCCCCTTTTCCCTAATTGATTTGAGTTTCTTGGTGGTTTTACTCGAGTCACTCGTTGAGCATAAAAGCGAGTTGTTTTTATTTCAGGGGCCGTTGTACTTGACATCTCCTGTTTTTCGGAGGCAGAGAGAATGTATATGCTCATTAAGGATACAGTGGTCCAGGACAAGCAGCTGACTGGAATTGTGTTGCCGGAAGTGATGGTAAGGTACCTGCTCCCCCAGAGGGTTTGTGACTTCTTCCAGGTGGCATAGGGAATAAGCGGCAGAGCTGGAATTTGAACCAAGGTCCTCAGACTCCAAAGCCGTTGTTTTTTCTGCTAAACCCCACTGCTTCCCCCTTCCCAATGGGAGTGGCCAGACATGAGACAGGAAAGAAAGAGGTCAGAAAGAAGACAGAAGGGGCTGGACTCTCACCATTTTTGGAAACGATGAACAGGGACCAAAATTCAGAAAGCTAAGTCATTGGCTAAGTATAGTCCAAGTTAAATTAATTATAAATTTAAATGAAATTAATTATAAATTTGAATGAAAACAAAATGGATGTGAAAAGAACCTTGAAAATGGTGAAGCAAATGGAAGGTGGGGTTATTGATGGCAGATTCTGCACGGTGCTGAGCCACGTCATGGAAGACACTGGTACCATAGAACCAGGTTCATTTGGGTCAGTTCATGTATATTTACTGTTCCCTGCCACACACTGTGGGGGATGCAGGGATGAGGAAGGCATTGCTGCTTCCTTGTAGAAATCATGGAAGAGTCGGGGAAGGACCCTTAGAGACCATCAGTCTGTTCAAAAACTTACATTGATTCTTGACTGCCTAGAAAATAAAATGTAAACTCCTAAGATCCTTGACAGTCTGCTGTCGGCCTCCTTTTCCAAGTTTATTTTATATTTTTCTCCTGTGTTAACTCTACATTCCAGCTCAGTCAGGCCCCATGTGCCGTTTTCCAGCTCTGTGCATTCATCTCCCATTCCTAGAGCACTGACCTCTTCAGTACCATCTTTCAGAAATCTTCTCTTCCTCCAAGGCTCAGCTCAGGTGCTATTCCTCCAAGGAGTCTTCCCTGATTTCCTTCTCCATTCCTGTCTGAAGTGTTCTCTCCCCATCTCAGATTTTCCTAGAGCCGTTTGTCTGGATCTCTCCTTTGCCTCCCATCATGACTAGCCACCAAGGATTGAGTGTGTATTGTCTCTCCTTACTCCCCAATCAAATGGAAACACTGAGGGCAGGAACTGAGTCTTTTTTTTTTTAATCTTTGTATCTCCTGCCCGTAGCAGATGTCTTGGCCATAGCAGGTGCTTAAGAAATATTTATTTTGAATCTTCTCTCATGTTATAGAAGAGCAAACTGAGGCCTGTTGAGGGAAAGTTACAGCCTCATAAAAGGTACAGAGCAAGTTGGAACTGGAATCCAGGTCCCCGGACTCCAGGTCTGAGGCTCTTTCTAGTATTTCGTGTTGCATCTCTACTTATCCCGTCTTCTTTCTGAGGCAAGATGGTAATACACTTAAAAGTTAACTCCTCATATACAAACATATGTATGTATACATACATATAGGTGTGTGTAAGTGTATGTTAAAAAAACAAAAACTCGTGCAAAAAGTAGTGATTGTGGATTTAGATCCACGGGCTGAGGTGATCAGAGAAGTCTTCTTGGAGGAGGTGAGATCTTGTGCTAGGTCTTAAAGGGGTGGAAGAGTATGAACGAGGTCTCAAGGATATGAATGAACCCACCATGTTGGTGGAATAGGAGGCTACAGAAACATAACAAGAATGTGACTTGGAGTTGAGAGGCCTTCTTGGACCCTTGTTAGCTGTCTAAAGACTGCCTTCTGGATGTTTGTCTGTTTTGTGAGGAATCGTCCTGTTTCCCCCTTGCTCCAGCCACTGGTCCTACCCTCATAGCCTTGAAGGTCACCAGCCAACTGCAACTGGGCACCTTTATAATTGGCCAACAGGTGGCGCTTCTGAGCCAATGAAATTGAGCTTGCCTTCAGCCTTCTCAGAGGGTGGGGGAAAACTGTCCACATAGAGCCACCAAGCTAAATAGCATGGAGAACAGCTACATAAGAATATCATTAGCAAGAGTTGTTCAGTAAATCACAATAGACAAAATCCAGGAAAGAATCCAGCAAGAAAAATGATGGCCTCAGATGTCTGTAGACTTACACACGAAACAAACAAGATGAGCTAGAGATCTTACTGCAAGGAAGCAAATTGGACATCATGAATGTCTCAGGGATTGGCTTTTTCAGTTGGAACTGTGTATCTGGGGGCAGCTAGATGGTGCAGTGGATAGAGCACCGGCCCTGAAGTCAGGAGGACCTGAGTTCAAATCCAGCCTCAGACCAAATACTTGATACTTACTAGCTCTGTGTGACCCTGGGCAAGTCACTTAACCCTAATTGCCTAAAAGTAAAAAAAAAAAAAAGTAAGAGTATCTGCAAAAGAGGGATGGTGGAGGTGGCTAACGCTACATATCAAGAAGACGTAGGGGTGTGTGTGTGTGTGTGTGTGTGGAAATCCGGGAACTAGAACAGGAAGCATGGTGGAGAGTGTTTGGGTGAAATTCTCTGGCGCTAGAAATAGAAGCAGTATTGTCATTAGAGTAAGCCACAAAGCGCCTGCACAGAATGAGCAAATGGTTGAATTCAGGAAAGAGATGATAAGCTTAGCACAGAAGTGTGTTACCTAGTACTGATGGAAGACTTCAGTTATTCAGTCTTTTGCTGCAGTTTTCTCTGCTCAAAGCAAAGCAGCTAATAATATCTTGGCTTGTCATAATAATAATTTTAGTCTTCAAAGGGAGGAGGAACCAGTGAAGAGAACTACTACTCTGGATCTGAATTTTCACCAACAAGGAAAAACAACAGGAGTCTTGGAGAAAGTGATCATCCCATCTTAGCATTTGTGATAGAAGAAGAGAGAGAAAAGTTGGGCATGGTCTCATATGCACACTGGGTTTTTGGAGAGCAGATGTCAAAAGGTCCAGAAAAAGAATAAATTAGATTTCATGGCTTAAAATGGGGAAATCAGCCCAAAGAGAGTAAGTGAAATACTAAAGGCAGAAAATTCTGTTGAGGATGTAAAGAGGGAATTATCTCAAAGGATCACTGTGGATGCATAGGAAACTAATTGACCCACTTAGGTTATAAAAGACACGTACAGAAAGTAGAATCAAGGGCAGGTAATGTTACATGAAAACAAAAACATGGCACAGTCTTCCAAATTTAATGTCTGGAGCACTAATACTCAAAATGAGCTGAGACTGGCAAGGAAAGCTAAGAACAACAAAAAGGGTTGGGGTTTTTTTTTAAGTTTTGTTATGGAAAAAAGGATCAAAGCAAGGAAAGAATCATTGCTCAGAATGGAATGCGTGATGATATTGGACAATGGAGAGGAAGTAGAGCTGCTGAACTCTTCATTTTGTCTCTGTTTTCTCTGCTAAGAAGGTGATCTTTGAATTGGAAAGGATAGAACAAAGGCTAAATGGGAAATCGATGCCTAAGATGTCAGGAGTTAGGAAGAGAACCCCTATTTCTTCTCAATCAACCAATCAACAAGCATTTTTTTTAATAAAAATTTTATTAGTTTATTTTGATTTATCAGCAATCACTTCCATATGCTTTTGAGTTGAGAATTTTTCTCCCCCTTCCTCCCCCCCACCGTCCCCAAGATGGCACACAGTCTGATATAGGCTTTACATTTACATACCCATTAAACATATTTTCACATTAGTGAAGTTGTAAGTAAAAATTAAAACCAATAGGAGGAACCATCAGAAAGAGGAAACAAAACTCAACAGAAGGTAAAAATAAGTGAGAGCGATTCGACTTCCATAGTTCTTTCTTTGGATGCGGACAGCATTTTCCATCCCGAGGCCTCTGGAGATGTCTTAGATCCTTGTAATGCTGAGAAGGCTTCAGTTTAACAGTATTAGTCATCGCATAATGTGGCTGTTACTGTGTACAAAGTCCTCTTGGTTCTGCTCACTTCACTCCACATCAGTTCATATAAGTCTTCCCAGGTTTTTGTGAAGTCAGCCTGTTCATCATTTCTTATAACACAATAGTATTCCATTGCATTCGTATACCACAACTTGCTCAGCCATTCCCCAATTGATGGGCATCCTCTCAATTTCCAATTCTTTGCCACCACAAAAAGAGCTGCTATGAATATTTTTGTACATGTGGGTCCTTTTTCCCCATTTGTTTGATCTCTCTGGGATACAGCCCTAGAAGTGCTGTTGCTGGATCAAAGGGTATGCCCATTTTTTCAACAAGCGTTTATTAAGTATGAGCCAGACATTGTGCTGAGTGAGGGGAATACAAAGGCAAAAGGAAAATAGTCCTTGCCCATGATCAGTTCAGAATATCAGGCACAGAAAAACCACATTCCAGGGCATTGGAAGAAGTGGCAAGATGTGATTGATGAGCCTCTTTGCAAGATCAGAGGACGGAATCAGTAAATTAGAGACAAGGGAGCTTGGCTTTTAATTTCTGGCAAAATTCTAGAATTAAAGAGATTGTTAGTGAACCCCTAGAAAAGGAAGTAGTGATCCAAGAGCCAGCATGGTTCATTGAGAACAGATAATTCTTTTCCCTTTTTGGCAGGGTTACTAGACTCATTGATCAGGGCAAGGAAATTCCATGAATTAGCTTACATGGATTTTAGCCAAGCATCTGATTAAGTCTCTTCTGCTGTCCTTTTGGAAAAGATGGAGACATATAAGCTAGGCATTGCTGTTGGGTGGATCTGGAATCGTTTGAATGTCTGGACCTTAAGAGTTGCAGTTCATTGTCATCTTAGGAAGTCTCTAGGAGAGTGCTCCATAGATCTGTTTAATGGCTCTTTGCTGGCACGCTAATCAATTCTGCAGGTGACACAAAGCTGGGAGGAAGAGCTACCTCGTTGAGTGACAGGATCTAAAAGCACGTTGGCTTGAATCCAGGGAAATGGAATTTACAGGGATCATTGTAAAGTCACACTTGGGTTCGAAACGTCAGCTTTAGAAGGGCAAGATTGAGGAGGCGTGACTGGACAGAAGTTCAAAGGGGAAAGACCTGGGGCTTGTACTAGACTGTGAACTAAATATGAGTGTGCTGCGTGATGCAGCACACTAAAAAGCTAATGCCACCTCTGTTTGCATTAAGTGAAGCATGGTATCTTGGGGAGGCCATGGTCATACTCTATTCTGTCC